CACAATTGTATATTTTTTTTTATATTATATTATGTTATATGTGTAGAGTAACAGAATTCTCGACAAATAAAATCAAAATATTTATTTTTCGTTTCCAAATGGTTCAGATTTTACTATACATTTATAATATAATATTAATAATCTAATAATATTAAGTCGATGTATAATTAAAAAGAAAGAAATTACATTGTGTATTATGAAAAGAGCAAAAATATTTCTTGAAAATTAAACTTGAATGATTTTCAAATTACATGCACGTTGCAAAAAATTGTAGATATATCTCAATACAATTTCAGACACATATATGTATACAGTACACATTTGATGGTTCCTACACATTGGACGCGGAAGCGCTTATCAGTTTTCACCGAGGATTTAAACTGGATCGTAGAACCAGAATGTAAGGACCAACTACAGTCGAGTATTCCCCTGTTACAGTCAAATGACAGAGGAATGCTCGACTGTAGTTGGTTGATTCTTACATTCTGATCCGGTCAATTATCGCGTAACAAAATGTGACGCAGTAGTCAATAAGCTTATAGCTTCTAAGACCGGAAAGAAGTTCACACGGAAAAGTGGAATAGTGGAAGCCAATTGGAATAGTAGCAGGCGGTACATCTCGTTTGTCTTTTCGCGAGTTCTGATTGGCTTCCACTTTTCCGTCAAAGTGTGAGGTGTGAATCCGACCTAACATGTTCATTACCGCGTCGCATTTTGCCGCACGGTAATATTTCCGTGTCCAGTATGCAGAAGCCATATATATATACGTACATGACAGATGACACAAGCGTGGGTGGATGTGTGGGTAGTGGGTGTCTTCACTTCACAACGAAGTTTTCGCGAAATACAAGGGAAAGGGCAGCGAATCGCTGTATATAATTCATCTCGTTTTGATATTTTGTTCTGATATTACTTTTCATACTCCCTAATATTCACGTGTTTCTCGCGCGCAGCAATATCGCGCGATTTTACTTCTTCCATATTTCTTCAATGTGCGTTTCTGAGTTAGAGGTTAAGCTGTCAGCCGCAATCTGAAACAATCTGTATTCCCCGATAGGTACGTTTTCTTAATAAAATTCTTATTAACATCTCTGCATGTCGATTAATTTCGAGCCTACTCGTCATCACAATTAAAGGTCTATACTCTCTCATATTCTTTCACTGCAGGATGATTGTCATTCTAATATTTTTAGGTATGGTAGAAGATAGAAAATATGAGATTCCAAGCCGTATCGAGTGCGACGGATATCGAGGTACGTTGAAATACGTCGGACCTGTTGGAAACACCAAGGGAGAGTGGTTGGGAATAGATTGGGACGATTCGACTCGTGGCAAACACAATGGCACTTACGAAGGTGTAGAGTATTTTCAAGCCAGGTAAAATGAAGCAATTGATAATACTTTTTTGCAACGACAATAGCAATAATCTATAATTTTGCATATAATTTTCAAGACATTCCACATCAGGCTCTTTCATACGACCAGGCAAAGTCAAATTTGGGATATCTTGTCCACAAGCTATCAAAATGCGTTATGGGCTAATTGACGATGAATTAGCAGGCATAGACAGGGACGAAGTATCGACTTTAAGGAAAGAAATGAATGCACCGTTTTTAGAGCTTGTTGGCTTCTCCAAAGTGAACAAAAAGCAGAGCAAGTTTGACCAACTAAAAATAGTGTGGCTAAGGGAACAATGTGTATCCAATGTAGGAGAGTCACAAGAATTGGAAAAATTATGTCCTAATTTGGAAGAATTGGATTTATCTAGAAATTTGATAAACTCGTGGAAAATTGTAGCAAATATATGTTCCCAACTTCGTTTTCTGATGCGTCTTAATGTTAGGTGAGTAAGGAAGTAATTAGAAAATGTGTAGAAGTTCAATATATACTACAAATATATACTACAAATATAAGAAAAATTTGTTTTATTTTCACAGTGAAAATCATCTGCCTATAGAAGATATGACAGCATTAAAAGATTCATTTTCAACAGTTAAGCATTTAACTATAGCTAGAATGAATTATAACTGGTTTGATATTCGACAATGTATATCCATGTTTCCATCAATCGAAGAACTTTCAGTTTCTTTTAATATTGTTATGACTATAGACGATATGACTTGTGCAAATACTAATTTAATGAACATAGTTACATTAATACTGGAAGGAAATTTAATATCAAGTTGGGATGAGATACTTAACCTAGGTTCCCTTCCATGGTAAGTTATAAAATATTTAACTGTCCTCTTTTTTTTATTCAATTTCTTTATTTTTTAAAAAGCATGAAATTTGTTTTATATAACTAAGAGAAATTCTTTTTACAGCTTAGAATATCTTAATTTGAATTTAAACAAAATAGATAGAATTAGATTTTCATCAACATCAACAGATAAGACTGCTTCATTTCCTATTCTACGTCAACTACATATTTCGGAAAATCACATATCAGAGGTAGTAAATTTTCATAGATAGTATCAATCGAAAAAATACATTTTTTGCATTTATGCGGTTAAAATTTCTGGCAATTTTAGTGGCAATCCATTAGTGAATTGGATAAATTATCAAACCTGGAAGATTTAAAATTCAGAGGAAATCCCATTTTGGAAAACGAAACAGTAGAGACTGCTCGACAATTGGTAATTGCAAGAATTGCGAAATTAAAGATCTTAAATGGTACAGAGATACTTCATGATGAAAGGAGAGGTGCCGAGTATGATTATTTAAAATTGTATTTACCATTGTGGTTAGAAACTGAAAGTAATTTGAAGAAAAAAACATCTTTTATAAATGAACATCCACAATATCCTATTTTAGTCGATAGTACGTATAAAATTTATTTTTTACACCAACAAAGAATTCAACAAAACTTAATTACGATTTCTTGTAAAATAAAAATCTATTTTATAATTTCAGAATATGGAATTGCGGATATTCCTTCGGCTAAGCCAAAAGTAGAAATGATTTCAAATGTGATAACCGTGGAGTTTGTATGCCCAGATGATCCGCATCAACCTAGAGGAATTAAGAGGAAGTTACTTAAAGATATGGAAGTTCAAAAAATGATTGGGCTTGCTCAAAGACTTTTTAAAACTAGTGGGAAAATTCCGATTCTTTCGTTTATCCCACGGAATGTAAGTTTAATGTTATACAAAAAACAATTATATTTAATCGACGGTACAAATAATATATTGTAACATTTCAGCTATCGAACGATGAAATCTCATTGGATAAACCATTGCAAGAACTTAGTTACTATTCAATTCAGGACGGTGATCAAGTTCTTGTGAGGTGGTGATACACCGAGTCGAATAAATTACATTTATAGATATACTGTATTTTTTACGCTGATAAAATCTACTCTATAATACTTTGTTATTAAAATTTTTTTAATTGCATCGCATGTTCTTGATGAATTTTGCTGAGATTGTGGAACCTGGTAATGTAAGCTTAAGTTAACGAGATAAATACTCTTGCCGCTATTGGAAAAAGTATTTTATATTTTACATTCCTTATAATACAGTTGCAATCGAAAGTACAAATTATAAATAGGCCTTTGTACAAGAAGCTGCATATGAAATATATTTTCTGTAAATTACAGACATCACTTTGCCTAAGTAAAACGGATTGCTCAGCTTGGTGCCAATGTTGTACTATCAATTTTGCTGAGCCTTTTGTTCAATCTTGGCAGCCTCTTCTTTCTCAAGTTGTTCTCTCGTCAATAATGACAATCCAAGTTGGTTCTCACGCGTGAATGGCTGTGCCATTTGTCGTAACCATCTTTTACTGATCTGAAAATTGTAAATAAACATTATTACTAGATAAATTGTCAAATTTTAATCACTAATCACAGCACCTGCTACCAAACGAAAAATTAATATTACTTGTATAGCTTCTTCGGTTGATAAGTTGCATAAGCTATCATTTAAATGTTCCTGTATCCATTTTGGTAATTTGCTTCGTTTATCTATTCTTGAAAATCTCTACAGTGATGAAAATACAGTGATGGAAATGATGTCATATTATAAAATGCAAAAATATTTTTTTTGTAAATACGACGGATTGTTCTTCAAAAAAATATACCTTATCTGCAAACACCATGATACCGTAATCTGTTTTTCCTCTGATCGCACGTCCTACGCATTGTGCGGCGTGTCTCATGGCATCAAAAGTTAAGAAATCGTTTTCTCGAATCTGGGGAAACATTACAGAAACACACACACACATATATGTATATATGTGTGTGTGTGTGTGTGTGTATGTGTGTATATATATATATATATATATATATTTTGTTCAGAAGTAACAGAAGTATTTTATGATGATTTTATGGATTTACTTGAAACTGATCTCTGAGATATTCCAAACGCGCCTTTAAGATACGTGACTGTGTGTACACGTAAGGTATGCCAAACATCAGCACGGCTCTCCCCAAATGATGATCAAAGTCGACGCCTTCGGATACTTTTCCACGAGCCACCGAGAGTAAAACAGCTCCTCTACCGTTTTCGCAAGCCTTTATGTAATTGATCAGAGCTAAACTGGTTTCTGCTGAATCCTGAGTTTCAATGAATAATAATTTATGCCTCTGAAGTTGATCCACAACTCCTTGATCGTACCTATTTATAAATTATTATAAAATTTCAGCATATATTTTAATATATTTTATTTATAAACATATATGTACATACCATGCGGCTACTACGGATTCCATATATAAATATGATGTAAAAAAGCAAACTAAGCCGTCGGGCACTGTCGCAGCAAATTCGACTAACAATTGACCATAATTTCTTATAACAGCCACATCTTCTCGTGTTTCGTATTTTGACGAAATGGCAACTTGATCATTACCTTTAGCAACAATCTGATTTTGAGAAAGCATAAACAGATAAAGTATTAATAAAACATTAAATTATTTATCTTCAATTTTTTTTTAACTTACCATGGGTAAAAGACACGGTCTAGCTAATGTCATTGTAAAGGACGACATTATAACCGGATGAAAGTTTAAAACTTTGGGATACATATCCAATGGGGACAACGTCCCAGAAGTGATTACCACGGACTGAAATCTATCGAATATGGGTTTGATAGCAATGGAAGAATCTAGACAGCTAAAATGTAAAATTGGATTCAATACTGTTGGCGTTTTATCGTCGAATGGTTCCACTATAATTGTGAAGCCGTGCGTGTATGTAGAGACTAATGTCGCAAGATGCGTCACTAAGATTATTGGAGAGAAATCTGTTAGATCTGTTATCTCCATAGTACGTAAGAGGGACGCTAATCTTTGGGCACAAAATCGCAATGGTTTTCGTTCAATAGCGACCTTCGCTTGGATATCCTTAAGAAATGCTGCGGGTGATTCTTGCACGACGTGTTGAACACGTAAGCGAGTTTTTAAATATTCAACGAATCGTTTCAAAAAGCTAACAAAATGCTCGGCATTTCTTATGTTACCGGGAATGACTTCTGTAAAAAAAAATTTAATGAAAATTGTTTAAACATTTTACATGTATGAGATATATAATATTTTTAAAATACAATTTTTTTAACCTTCAAGTATTTCGTTCGGTAAAATAGGGTTGGCTAAGATGACATCAGTTTCTCTCTGGAATTGAGCATCTCTCAGACCTTCGACCAATCTTTCGTACTCTTCCTTCAATTTATTTACATCCTCTTGTCTCATTCTGTATCAAAATATAATAATCTCTTATAAATCCTAAAATATTATATGCAAGAAAGGAATAGGACTTTTTCCAGGAGAAAGAATTTAGGCTAATTGAAAAAGATATGATATATAAGATTTTGAAATACTTACTCGGCTACAGTTTTCTCTAAGAGTTGTATGTTAGCTGTACTTTTCTCCATTGTCTTTCTGTTTATCTTTACACTCATGGAATCAATGCAGACATTATCTAAAATTTATAAAAATGTGATTTTGATTGCAAATTATTTAAGTGTCGATAAACGAATTTAATTCTTATACCAATATTATGAGCCTCATCAAAGATAACTATTGAACTCCTGCTTAATTCTTTGGATACAGTCTCAGCGATCTTTGGATCCAATAAATAATGATAACTATACACTACAATCTGTGCATGCAAGATCTGAAAGTGTTAAATATCGATTATCAATTTTATATCTTACTTAAATTGTTTATAAGAACAAATAAAAAGATTCCTAAAGTTTTTTTTACTGTAAATCTTGCGAGGAAGTATGGACACCAATTACGATCTTTTCCATATTCTTTTAAATCATCGATGGAGTAAATACCAGGAGGCATAATTTGTTCTCTGCCCTCCATATCAAATCCTTCATAAAAATTACAAATCGGAGTAGATTCATCATAATTATGTCTTTCTCGTACATATGATGCAGTAAGAGAATGACAACGGCCATCTACAATTTTACCTTCTCGTTCTCTACTGACCTATGCATAAAAATACAATTCATTTTAATATACATCTATGAAAATCAGTTTTTAAAAGTTTTAACAGTTTTAATTACCTCAGGATGGATACACATATTCTTACGCGAGCTAAGAACTAGACCAACAATTTTTGGCTTGCTTTTGGTTTCTTTCTCATAATAATCTATAAGCTTCTTTAGCTCCTCTATAACTTTCTCTATCTCTGGCACTGTCCGGGAACAATAAATTAACTTTGTTACATCTAATGGATGCTCCAGCATATATGCCACAATGAGTGACAATAAAGTTATCGTTTTGCCAGTGCCTGAAGGCATCTCTAACAAACAATGTCCCTAAAGCATAGAAATTAATTACAATATTCAAAATCAGCATCAGTAAAATGCAAGAATAAATGATACCTTGGCATCCAGGCCACGTTTGAGCTCGAGCATGTATGCATACTGCTCTGGATAAATATAATCATACGGAAAATATACAATCAATCCATCAACGCTTATCCTGTAGCAGAAATGTAAGTTTATAGATAAATATATAAACGAGCAAAACATTTCATTTGATGTAACGCTCGTACTTACTTCATATTGTTGTTTACGCTGTTACATGCGCATATATAATAATTATATATATTTACAGACTATATTTAAATGTCGGTAATTATTTAGAATCGCTTCCTCAGCTCAAATTTTTATAAAATATACTCATTCAATACTTTTTTCACTCGAAAAAACGTAGCAGTTTTTCTGCATTTTTCTACTTTACAAAACAAGTTATTAAGCGTTAAAGATTTTATTTTGTTTGAAGCCTCCAGTTGGAGGTCAGATGTCTTCTACTCTTCCGCGCAGTACTTCGGCACAAATTTTAAGCGGTTAAAGTTCGAAACTTTAGAGGTTAAGATATCTTTTAAGCCCCAGACAATGCAAAGGATATAGCGATAGTGATAGAAATAACGATTTCAACCTATCATAAATCAGGTACACTGGAATATACAGTTTCTGATAGGTTGAAATGAGTATACACAATTATATACGAGCTAATTGCGCACAAGCTAATCACAGCGCTAGAAAAAAAAAAAAAATACTCCCTATGTAGAAGTTGTGACGGCAATGGGCAATTGCTGACAATATACAAATGAACCACTCCCGATTGAAATCGTGTTATCGTTATCGCTATTTCTTCGCATTGGGTACGTTCACGCAGTGGCCAGCGCATCCACTGCTTTCTCATCTGCTAGTCACATGACCTAAATTTATCTAACGGACTTCTGCACGAATAGCTTGTAACGTTCGCCGATAAAATAAACGCGAACATCTAGGGTGCGTTCAGGAAATCTGGGTATTGGTAATAAGATAAATTCCTTCTGAAGGCACCTTAGAATGATCGAGACGAAGGAATTTCTGAACGGGTGATGCAATTGGGGGACTGGTAAACATCGGTGAAGATTGAGAAAAGGCATAAAAATAAGATTAATTGCTGTTACAATTACGAAAAAGAGATCGTATTTGTTCTAGAAGTCAATTGTATATTGAAACGTAGTGACTTAAAAATCTTTCAATAATTATGTAACTTAACCTTACTTTCATCAGGCACATGATTTTATAGTGCAAAATGCACATTGCGCATGTGGAACGACTTTTATCCAACTGAAAAGTAGGTTGATATAATAGAATGATCTTAGAGTGATCTAAATGCTCGTTTCTGAATGTTTTGGGTAAATTATACCTGAAGTTTCTGAACATCTGAGGTATACAGAGCATTCCAGAGTTACCTAGGCTTAATATTTGAATGCACCCTTATAGCAATTTCGGCTGGGATGCATTAGTGTATACTGGTACTATAGTTGTACTACAGTACTTGTACTGTGGCATTTTCGAATATATCATAACTGGTCATGATGGCAAACCTGACTGAGAAAGAAAAAACCTACCCGGATTCTAGTTACACTTCGTTCAATTATTCTATTTTTATGTTCGTTACAAAGCATCATTTGTATAGTAACCATTAAAATAAAGTTTCTTATACTAACGTTTTTTATTAAGAACGAATATTTCTTTATTGAGAACATATTTGGGGACCCCGATGTGATCGGTGGTTATATATTGGAATTCGATCGTTGTGAATGACGAGATTAACGCATCTCATTATGTCTAATGGTGATTCACCAACCAAAGCGAGCTCTGAATCATTATATACCCAAGCGATTACTGATTCACAAGCATCAGGCATGTCGAATAACCAATCAAATTAATCATCCAGAAACATATTCGATCTATCACTAGGAATTGCAGCAGCAACATAAAGATACCGCTGTTTTGGAAAGAAAAAGAAAACTTTTTAGTTTGTACTAGTAGAAGCTGTGTTCAGCATCTCTAGAATATCTAATGACAACACAAAATTCAGGTATTGTATTAAATTTAGACAATACAGCATTACTTTTTGTCTCAGACATTATTGCCAATCCTCTCTCAAGCGACAAATGTAAAGCTCTCAAAAATCGGATTATATGATCTTTCGATGAGACTGGAGAGTCGAAATTAAAAAACTAATCCGTGGCAATGAAATCGATGATGATAAACCTTCTAATTTTCTCCAATGGCTTAGAAATTTTGCTAGCGGACAATACAATGATTCAGTCCTACGTACACTATTTTTTGACCAGCTACCTGAGAATGGTTCTGGCCATTAGGCCAGACTTGTCACAAACTTGTCCATATTAGCGTTAGCCTCTGCAAGTACAAGCAGATGGCACTAAACAAAGCTGCCTGTTTTTACGCGACCATAAGCTACATTTAAGCTACCAAGTCGACACCAGGGCAGATATATCCATTCTATCAAAAAAGAAAATAAAAGGACCATATTCTCTTAATGACTTCAAGTTGGTTGTAACGAACGGATCCGAGATTAAGACTTATGGACATAAATGACGCAGGTAAATCTCGGTTTCAGACGATCATTTGTATGGAAGTTTACAATTGCTAATGTTACTCACGCAATTCTGATGTAGACTTTCTTCACCGCTTTAGTCGATCTTGCGAACGTCTTATTGACGGAACAACCAATTTACAAACTTCCGGTCAGCTACGTAATTCATGCATAACTACCATTAACACTAATTGTAGATATCATCAGTTACTTAAAGAGTATATTGATGTAATTAAGAGCGCCCCTAGAAAAGAAGGCATACATCAAATTCAGCATTACATTATAACTTGTGCCTCCCGCGGCTGAACGAGCTCGACGTCTGTCTCCAGAGAAATTCAGGATAACTAAAGCTGAGTTTGACTTAATGATCCAAGAGGGAATTTGCCAACCTTTCTCAAATCAAGTATATATGGGCATCACTCCTCCACACGGTACTCAAAAAGAGTGAAGATTATCGCTGTCATTAATCGCTGTCAGCATTCAAGAAAAATATTCATTACGTCACACGATTTTTCATATATCTCTAAATGGTTGCAGAGTATTTACAAAGTTAGACTTAACTCGTGCTGCTTTTCCAAGTCCCACTCGTTCAAGAACACAGACAAAATTGCGATTATTGCCATTCGAGCTCTTCGAATTTAATGTAATGACATTCGGTCTTCGTAATGCAGTCCAGACATTCCAAAGACTAATCGACACTGCACTTCGTGGCTTAGATTTTTGTCATCCGTATATAGATATTTTAATAGCCTCACCGGACTATTAAACGCATGAAAAGCATTTAAAAGGAGTCTGATAGATTACGCGAATTTGGCCTATCAATTAATTTCTCTAAATGCGCCTTTGGTGTAGAAAAGGTCGAATATTTAGTCTACCGAATCAATCATCAAGGCGTCAAATTCACCTTTACCAGAACGAGTTACCGCGATCCAAAACTTTCCAAAACTTAACAATACGTGAGCTGCGATAGTTTTTAGGAATAATCAATTTTTATCGTAGATTTCTTAAGGATGCTACAGAAATACAAGCTCCTCTCATATCTTGTTGGAGCAACCAAAAAGGATAAATTATCATTTGGACTGAAGAAAGTGATCGTGCCTTCATTACAACAACTCATAGAGTGCCTCTTTGATTGTTCCTTCCAAAGGAGCATCTCTAACTCTTATTACGCGTCTGAAATTGCCATAGGCGCTGTCTTCGAGCAAAAGGTTGATGATTCTTTGCAACTCTTGGGATTTTTTTCCAAAAAACTTACCTGCACAACAACGCTATAGCGCTTATGACTGTGAACTGCTAGCTGTTTACGTCAATCTAAAGTTTTTTCGCTATTTTTGTGAAGGACAAGATTTTATAATAAGGACTGATCACAAATCCTTAGTCTATGCCTTCCAGCAGAAATCGGATAAAACTCTTAGACAACAACTTTAACTGGATTTCATCAGTCAATTTTCCACTCGAATCATCCACTGGAAACATCGCTGGAAAGGAAAACTCCGATAGCCTATCGCGCATTGAGCAAATAAATTTACCAATTATTGTCACTACTGAAGAACTAGTTAAATATCAAAAGGAAGACAAAGAATCTTAGTTGACAATAATTCTTCATCTCTCGTTTAAAAAATTATATTGCAGTGACAGGAACACCATTTTGTTTTGTGAGCTCAAACGACATTCGGCCATATGTTTCACAAGTTCTAAGACGTCAAGTTTTCAATGTAGTCCATAACGTAGCGTTTACTCAAGCATTAAATCTACACAAAATCGCGCGTCGTTTCGTATGACTTTCTATGCGTAAAAATATTGCTGACTGGATCTGCACTTGTTTAGCATGTCAGCGTAGCAAGATCTTTCGTCATGTTAAAAATATTTCAGATAAGATTGCAATATCAGATGAACGATTCAGACACATTCATATGAACATTATTGGCCTATTACAACCTTCAAAAAATTTAAAATTTTGTTTAACTATTATTGACAGGTTCACGCAATGGCCGGAAGTCATCCCCATCCAGGATACCTCAACAGACACTATAATTAGTGCATTCTATACCTGGGTCGCCAGATTCGGAGCCATCTACTACTACTACTACTGATTGTGGAACACAATTTGAATCACGTTTATTTCAGGCTCTTGCACAATTCATTGGTGCTAAAAAAATTCATACTATAGCGTATTATCCCGCATCTAATGGCATGATTGAACGTCGCATCAGACATTAAAAACTGCAATAATATGCCATAATAACTGCGAATGTTTGACTTATGTTTTTCTTCAGTACTCCTGGGACTGCGAACTAGTATTAAGGATGATATAAATGCCTCTGCAGCAGAATTGCGGGACCTCATTGTGATTTCCGAGTGAGTTCTTTTTAGACATAGAACAAACTAATCAGCCTCGATTACTTTTAGAGCATCTCAGACAATCCATTCGTTCAGTCAGGCTTACTCCTATTTCACACCATAGGAAGGACAAATTTTTTTTTTTTTATCGAGACCTCCACTTCTATATATACGTTTTTGTTAGTTATTATTTTACAAAGAAGCTTCTGGACCCCCTTATGAAGGTCCCTTCCAGATTTTCCAATGAATTTCAGACAAAGTTTTTAAAGTGGATTTAGAAGGCAAACCTACAACAATTTCTACTGAAAGATTAAAACTCACTTTTTTTGAAGTTACTTATGGGTCTCCAATCACAAGCGACCAACA